GGTGGCATGGCCAAAATTTTTTTTAATGCAGGTTAACCAAAATCAGACCAGTAATCTAAGGATTCCTTGCCATATTTGGTTTAAAACCCTGTCAGCAAGCCATTGTTTCCTTGAGAAAAGAAACTTTACACTTATAATGCTAAATAGTACTAGCTGGTTGCAGAATAATTTGTTGCTTAGAAGTTGGATTCAACCAAGGTAAGAACTTAAATGCAACTTTCATTAAAATATGAATTTTAAAAGAAAGGTAACAAATGGTTTCAAATAATTGTGCAATGAACTATTTTTTTCTTCTGGGAAAGATTAAGAATAGTCAAATATAGTTATTTAAAAAAAAAAAAGCATACCTTTTGGGGCTCAATACTGCACATCATTATTCACCTAGCATCTCAGAGTCAAGACTCAGAAACTGGCCCCACTTTAAACGCCTGCAATTTGTTTTGAAATCTAATATCAGATTTTTCCATTGAAAAACAACACATTGAAAATGATAAATAATTATGATAACCCTTCTTATTCAGCTCCACAAAACTTACTGACAGGTGTTGTAAAAAAATTGTACCATTAAGTCCTCATAAATTTTTAAATTTGTTTCACATATATCTTTAACTTGCAGAAATAAAAAAAGGACAATCTAATCTATTTATATGCTAATTTTGTATATTCATATATTGTTACAAATTAATGTTTGACAATCAAATCTAGATTTAAATCCAATTGTTAGTAAATCAATGTATGAAGTGGTTTACACAGTTTTAGTTTGCACCTTGATTGTTTGATATACATAATATAACCTGTTTCTGTTATAAATTGTAACTAAGGTTTTAATTACCTCATTTCTGTTGTATATCTCCTTGTCCAGGTGATTCTGATTTCTTGTCATTCTTATTAACCATTAACTACACTTATTAAACTTAAACACCTATAACATCTAAACTCCAAAATTGCTTAAACAGGAAGTATTTCTCCTCTGCTTAATTTTACACTATTTTCCAAGCTTCTAGCTGACCATTCAAACTGGACAGGTACATCATTAGGTAAAACAGGGTTAATCCCAAAAATCAAAGCAGTTATTCATTTTAATATAACATTCATTGAATGTAAAAAACCACATCAAAATAGCTAAATAGATAAGATAGATTTAAAAAATCACGGATGGGGGGGGGGGGGGGGGGGGGGGGGGGGGGGGGTGGGGGGGGGGGGGGGGGGGGTATTTAAATAAAGAGGAAAAATTGCAATGTCCTAGACATTATTCTGCCATATCATTTCAAACTCCCAAAATTAACCACATGGAACAGTCTGATTTGTAGGAAATGACAGGGAGTAAATTAGTCAATGCACATTATGGGGGAGAACAAAGGTGGCCAGTTTTATCAGATCTTTGATCTGCGTGGTTGTAATATCTAAGTGGGTGTCCTTAAGTGTATGCAATTATTCAGGCATATTGGTTCCTTGATTTGAAATTGATAAAAAGTGACAGTTGCATTGAGCTTTAGTAAAAAAAAGTACTGTAAGAAGTACAATAGGTTGAAAACATATACATCTTCAATGTTTGTAAATGCAAAAAAAAAAACTAGAGTAGAAAATTGCTTTGGGTAACTTTTATGTGAATTGTTTTTGTTTTGAAATGGGAATGACACAGAATTTTCATTTCTTTCCATGGTCCACACAGAAATCACTGATTCCATTGCAATTCTGTCCCTATTCCACTCAGCAATCTGTGCCAAAATTATGTGCAGGTTATATACAATCATGTATATTTGATTTTCCCTATTACAATATCTTATTAAATGAAAAAAATAATTTCCTTGCTTATGTTCAAAATCAATTTAGCAATTTTTGTTTCTTATTGTTTGCTGATTAAGGTCTAAGATTATATGAATTTTAAATTCTGAGTATTTTGATACCCATTGTGTTAAAGAAAACTATTACAAAACCGACTTCAATATATTTTATATCAATTTTTCTCATTTTTTATACTTAACATTTTTTCAGCTTTGCTCAGTAATAAAAAGGCTCACAAAAGTTATTTCATTTATTCCTCTGTCTAAAGAACAGGAATTAACAAGACTTCTTACTTTTCACTTTACAGAAAGGCCTTCTAAGAAAATATCTTTGTCTTGTCTTTGACTAAAGGACTTCACTATAAATGAAGTCTGATAATTCCTGTCCTCAGGACATATTTGAAAATAAAAGTCCTGAGATTTCCTGTTTTTTCCTGTTGGTAAGATTAAAGTCCTGACAATTCCTGTTTTGTCCTGTTCAGTATGTTCAAAAGTCTTGAGATATCCTATAAACAGGACTTTTGTTAAGAGGTAGCAAACAAATCCTGGGATAATCCTGGGATTTCCTGGGACTTCCTGAGAACAGGAAATATTTTCTGCACGGGATGAGCAAACTTTATAAAAGACTACCTAAGAATGCTACAAACAAAGTTTGGTAATCATCCATCAAATATTTCAGTAGGAGATGGTGTTCAAAGGTTTTTCTATATTTAGCTTTAGCGGTCCCTTAAAGGAGCCAATCAAATTAATATGAGCAAACTTGATAAAAGACTACCTAACATTGCTACAGACAAAATTTGGTGATCATCCATCCATTACTTCTGTAGATATTTCTATTTTTAGCTTTAGCTGCCCCTAAAAGGGACAATCAAATAAATATGAGCAAACTTGATAAAAGACTACCTAAGAATGCTACAGACAAAGTTTGGTGATTTCAGCAGGAAATGATGTTCAAAGGTTTTTTCTATTTTTAGCTTTGGAGGCCCCTAAAAGGGGTCAATCAAATTAATAATATGACAAAACTTGATAAAAGACTACCTAAGAATGCAACAGACAAAGTTTGGTGATCATCTATCAATTAGTTCTCTAGAAATAGAAATTTAAAGTTATTTCACAAACCGAGAATGCTACAGACAAAGTTTGGTGATCATCTATCAATTAGTTCTCTAGAAATAGACATTTAATGGCATTTCTATTTTTAGCTTTAGCGGCCCCTAAAAGGGGCCAATCAAATTCATATGAACAAATTTGATAAAAGACTACCCAAGAATGCTACAGACAAAGTTTGGTGATCATCCATCTATTAGTTCTGTAGAAGAAGATGTTTAAAGGTTTTTCTATTTTTAGCCCTAGCGACCCCTAAAAGGGGCCAATCAAAATAATATTAGCAAACTTGATAAAAGACTACCCAAGAATGCTACAGACAAAATTTGGTGATCATCCATCAATTTATTCTGTAGAAATAGACATTTAACAGTATTTCTATTTTTAGCTTTAGTGGCCCCTAAAAGGGGCCAATCAATTAAATGTGAGCAAACTTGATAAAACCCTAATCGAGAATGCTACAGACAAAGTTTGGTGATCATCCATCAATTAGTTCTCTAGAAATAGACATTTAATGGTATTTCTATTTTTAGCTTTAGCGGCCCCTAAAAGGGGCCAATCAAATTCATATGAACAAATTTGATAAAAGACTATCCAAGAATGCTTCAGACAAAGTTTGGTGATCATCCATCCAATAGTTCTGTAAAAGAAGATGTTTAAAGGTTTTTCTATTTTTAGCCCTAGCAACCCCTAAAAGGGGCCAATCAAATTAATATGAGCAAACTTAATAAAACACCAACCGAGAATGCTACAGACAAAGTTTGGTGATCATCCATCAATTAGTTCTGTAGGAGAAGATAATTAAAGGTTTTTCTATTTTTAGCCCTAGAGACCCCTAAAAGAGGCCAATCAAAATAATATTAGCAAACTTGATAAAAGACTACCCAAAAATGTTACATACAAAGTTTGGTGATCATCCATCAATTAGTTCTCTAGAAATAGACACTTAACTGTATTTCTATTTTTAGCTTTAGCGGCCCCTAAAAATGGCCAATCAAATTCATATGAGCAAACTTGATAAAAGACTACCCAAGAATGCTACAGACAAAGTTTGGTGATCATCCATCCATTAGTTCTATAGAAGAAGATGTTTAAAGGTTTTTCTATTTTTAGCCCTAGCGACCCCTACAAGGGGCCAATCAAATAATATGAGCAAACTTGATAAAAGACTACCCAAGAATGCTACATACAAAGTTTGGTGATCATCCATCAATTAGTTCTCTAGAAATAGACACTTAACTGTATTTCTATTTTTAGCTTTAGCGGCCCCTAAAAATGGCCAATCAAATTCATATGAGCAAATTTGATAAAAAGACTACCCAAGAATGCTACAGACAAAGTTTGGTGATCATCCAATCCATTAGTTCTATAGAAGAAAGATGTTAAAGTTTTTCTATTTTTAGCCCTAGCGACCCCTAAAAGGGCCAATCAAATAATATGAGCAAACTTGATAAAAGACTACCCAAGAATGCTACAGACAAAGTTTGGTGATCATCCATCAATTAGTTCTGTAGAAGAAGATGATTAAAGGTTTTTCTATTTTTAGCTCTGCTCACCCCTAAAAGGGGCCAATTGAAATGACATGAGCAAATTCAAGTGTGACTGTCACAAGGATGCTACAGACCAAATTTGAAGTAAATCGGCTTAGTAGTTTCAGAGAAGAAGACGATTGTTGACGCATGACGACGGACGACGGAGCATCCCCCTTTGATACTAATAGCTCACCCTGAGCCTTCGGCTCTGGTGAGCTAAAAAGTTACTTTAACATATTCTTTTTGATAAATTAGCACATTAAAAAACAACTGTGATTAGAGATTAACAAAAATGGCGGAAGGGAATTTCCAAACGCCGACGCATGCGCAGTGGTCCCCCTTTACGTTCAGAGATTTACGGAATATTCCAAGCGTCCAATGATAGGTTGAACACCACCAATTTATTTGTTTTGTTTACGGTACAAAATACCTGCAAGAAAGATCTGGTTTACATGTACACTAGTTTTACACAAGTAAAACTAAATGTGTTTTCCTATATTGATCAATATAAACAAATATAGTGATTCAGTAAATGCAAAATTGTATGCTTTTGGGAAGGGAGAGAATCCAAAATTCTTACCTTAAAGAATTTTGTATAAATTGGAGTTGTCTCACATTGATTGCTGGTATTTTGGTTTATTCTCCTTTTATCATGAAGAATTCTAACTTCTTTGGCACCAGCGTCCTCTGCATTTTGTATCAACTCCTGAAAAAATAAATTTTAACTTTATACTCTCTACATTATCTGATAAACCTGTCTGATATACCTGTCTGATATACCTATCTGATTACGGAACGTTGGTGGTTCTACTCAGGTGCCTGTTCGTGCCTGAAATAATGCACGGAAGGGCACATGAGGTCTTCCTCCAGCAGTAAAGCTGGAATGTCATGATATGACCTATACTGTGTCAATGTGACGTAAAACCCTATCAAAAAAAAAATACCTATCTGATATAGCCCTATCTGATATACCTATCTGATATGTAACCTATCTGATGTTACATGTAATTAAATAAAATAACAATGTAAGAAATCAATTTCAAATAATTATCCTTTTAGATACAAAACAAAGATAACTAGAACTATCACTAAATGTGATTAAAAACCCCCCAAGACTGCTTCGGAAATGAGGAAGTTCCCAGCAAACATACCTATATCGGGCCAATATCGGCTAAATGGCCGAATATCAAAGTCGGCTTTCCGCCATCGGACCGATATATATATCCGATATAGACAAACTTGTTATAGACAGGATGATATCGGTCCGATATAGGTCCGATATACATTAATTTCCTGTCATTCAATTAAATGATTTTTTTTTGTATATTCTTCTCAAATTAATTTCAGCAAGAAATCGATGCATTTGTAAAGAGTAATTAAGTCGTTTTCATAAAAAAATACTTTGATGCTATATTGGCTCCATGTCTGTTGCCAATTTATTGTAAATGATTTGCACAACGTGGTATTTTTCTAGCCCACCTGCCATCTGAAGTAGTTTGCGCCAAAACTAAAAAAAGTGGAAATACTACTGGTAAATTTATAAATTACTTATGCTTTTGAATAAATTCATTGTTGTAGTATTCGGCGTCATTGATATTTTGAACGTAGGTTTGGGAATTTCATAATTATCTCGCCGAAAATTATTTTGTAATACATTTTCGTGACTGTTTTTAAATTGTTGCCTGAAATTTAGCGGCTGAGACTGAGAATAAACATCAAATTATAATTTTCTTTTTATTTTTATTAAAAGTTATAAGTATGATAGAGATGTCGAATGAAAGTTTTACTTAAAAAGAAATGGATAGTGCCTGCTTGCCTTTTGAAAGGACACTGTTCTTAACATAGTCCTTAAGTAATAAAAATGTGAACATTATGATTATTATGTTGATATAATTTCTTATAGTATAATGTTTGAAACATGAATGATTCATTGCAGGTAAATCATCTGTCAGAGTGCTGACAACTGAAATAGCTGGTTTTGGTGAAGGAAAATGTCATTTTAGAAGCTAAAGATGACCAATTGATGCAATACAAAGTCCTAGGCAACACTTAGAATGATAAAGTATATGTTTTTAAGACAAAAATATTCTATTATAACGAAAAAAATAATTATTTAGCTTGAGCTTTTAGAGTTATTATGTAAAGTTTCATGTTTTTTTTACTGATTTATTAACATAAATGTTTCAAAGGAAACTGTTTAATTAATATATATATACTTTATATATATATGTTAAATATAGATCAAGACAATATTTGTAGCTTGTAACTTGTATCTTTAGTATACGCACACACACACATATACTTATAAGGTTTCTTTTCAATTTTTGCTCCAGAATGTAGTGATGAAAAAAACTAGAACTGTGTCCAAAGGACACGGATGCCCCCACTGACAACATATATATGGTATATAGTGAAAAAATCAATAAAGGGCCATAATTCTGTTAAATTTGGTTGCAGCAAAATTCCTTCCTTTACTACCATCTACACATTAAGGTTGTTCATCCCTAGAAGTTTAAGCAAAATCTGCCATCTGGTTTAAGAGGAGTTGCGTTCACAAAATTTCTACATAGTATATTGTGAAAAAATCAACAAACGGCCATAATTCTGTTAAATTTGGTCGCAGTGAGAATTCCTTCCTTTACTACCATCTACACATTAAGGTTGTTCATCCCTGAAAGTTTAAGCAAAATCTGCCATCCGGTTTAAGAGGAGTTGCGTTCACAAGATTTCGGGACGTACGGACAGACGGACGGACGGACAGACGTACGGTGTGACGGACGGACGGACAAGTGCAACGCTATATGCTCCCACTCTGTGGGGGCATAAAGAGCAGCAGTCACCAAGCTGAAATTCAATAGCAGGAAATAGCATCATCTGGCAAATGATCAAGACATGGTGGAAATAAAGAACTCTAGAAAACTAAACAATTGAAGAAGTTCATATACTATCAGGACTCCTGGAGGAACCACAATTGACACTTGACATTATTAACTCATTTACAAATTACAAAATGCTGTTTTTAACTCTATTCAACATGATAATGTGAAAAAAGTCAGCTATAGTCATTTAAAGTTTTACACAAACTTGTGATCACTGGAGTATGAATCAATGTGCAATATCTAAAATACAGTTACTAAATATATCAAAGATAACCGAGCTTGACACTTTCTAGACAAATTTCAAGTCTACATGATGTAAAAAAGCAAAGGAACATGTAAGAAAAATGCCATTGAGCTTATTTTATCTAAACAAAAAGTAGTATTTATATAGCAAAGTTGTATTTGCCAGTCACATGACTTAAGTATTTTTGTTCAAACATTTTCATTTTGACTGGTCTTTATAGGTTAATGTTTAAATTTTTATATGTGTTAGCAAGGAAAAATCGTGAGTTAAACATACATGGTTTTTAAACTTTGAATTATGTATGTGTAAATATAAAAATTATTATGTATATGAATGTTTAATTTTGCTGATGTAATAAAATATATGTTCTGTTATATGTTAAGGAAAGCAAACCAATATGCTATAAGAAGAAAAAAGCTTATTATGAATGTAGGTATAAAATCGGCTGTAAGTCAGTAAACTGATATCGGCATCCGATATCTGCCCGACTTTGAGCCGGGTTGCACATCCGATGTCGAGCCGACTATGGATGCCGATATCGGGCCGACATTGAAGATGATATAGGGCCGACATCGGTCCTATATGTAATGTTTGCTGGGTTACTAGTAACAGAATACCTTGCAAAAGAACAGAAATAGAGTTATGGTTGTGGGCAATTAAAGATAGTTGTAGTTCTTGTATGTTGCATTCCCTTTCAATGTTGAGCATTGATGAAGTTTTATTGAATTACTCTGTAATAAGTCCAAAAAGAGTTATGCTTCTTGAGCACTGCACTCCCTCTCATTGCGCTTGACCATTGAATGAAGTTTCATTCAATTCTAAACATTAGTTTCTAAGTTATGCATCTGACAATGAAAAGGAACAAAGGGCAATAACAAATACTGAAGATGGAGTTATGGTTATTGTACACTGCACTTCCTGTCATTGGGCTTGACCATTGTATGAAGTTGTATTGAATTCCAACTACTAGTTTTCAAGTTATGCACTGGACAAAAAAGAAAGTAACAAAGGGCAATAACTGTAATAAGTCCAAATAGAGTTATAGTTCTTGTGCACTGCATTTCATCTAACTGCCCATGACCATTGTATGAAGTTTCTTTGAATTCCAACCGTTAATTTTCAAGTTGTGCACCGGACAATAAAAAGTAACAAAGGGCAAAAACTCTTAAATGAGTCAAGAAAGAGTTATGGTTTCTGTACACTGTGCTTTCTCTCAGTATACTTGACCATTGTATGAAATTGTATTGAATTCCAACTAGTAGTTTTCAAGTTATGCTCTGGACAAGAAAAAAGCAATGGAAAAGTAACAAAGGGCAATTAACTCTATAATTATTCTGGACAGAGTTATGGTTCTTGTGCACTGCACTTCCTCTTATTGTGCTTGACCATTGTATGAAGTTGTTTTTGAATTCCAACCAGTACTTTACAAGTCATGCTCCGGACAAGGAAAATATAAAAGGGCAATAACTCTGTAATTTGTCAAAATGGTGTTATTGTTCTTGTGCACTGCACTTCCTCTTAATGTGCGTGATGTTTGTATGAAGTTGTATTGAATTCCAACTAGTAGTTTTCAAGTTATGCTCTGGACAAGAAAAAGTAACAAAGGGCAATAACACTGTAATTAGTCAAGATAGAGTTATGCTCCGGACAAAAGAAAGCAATGGAAAAAAAACAAAGGGCAATAACTCTTTAATTACTTTAGATAGAGTTATAGTTCTTGTGCAATGCACTTCCCCTTATTGTGCTTGACCATTGAAGTTGTTTTGAATTCCAACCAGTAGTTTTCACGTTATGCCCCGGACAAGGAAAAGTAACAAAGGGCAATTAAACTCTGTAATTAGTCAAAATGGAGTTATGGTTCTTGTGCACTGCACTTCAACTCAATGTGCTTGACCATTGTATGAAGTTGTATTGAATTCCAACCATTAGTATTCAAGTTATGCTACGAACAAGGAAAAATGCAGGGGACGGCTGGACCGACCGACCGACCACCGAGTGACTCCTATATATACCCCACCCCCCCCCCCCCCTCCGAACTTCATTTCGGGGGTATAAATACAATGGTAATTTCAAACATGGACACAAGCTTACTAAAATGGCTCATTTAAGTAACGATTGACCAACTCATAGAAGATGCTGATATAAAATCATTATCAAGTTACGGTTATCCATCTGAAAAGGGTTCATAGATAGACATCTACATACAACCTTACTTAAAGAGGATTGAAAATAGTGTTTGACACCCACTACAGGTGCAGTGGAATTATTATATATGTGGCTTAAGTTTGGTATCAAATTTTGGCTATATGAATATCTAATTAAATATATTCAATATACCTTTAGTATTTGACCACCGTCCGGGTATTCAGATAGAATTCCTTTCAACTGTTTGATCAATGGTGGCTGTTTCATCTCCGAATATCGGATATTCTTTTTCTTCTTGACACTGCCACCACTTGCAGACGCTGAAATATATATGTTTTTTTTATTATTATAATTGTATCAAATAGTAACAAAAGGGACTAATATTATAATATAGTAATATTACATGCATTTTTTTCATGTCAAATTAAAAAAAAAAATGGTTTCTTTCAATACTGAAAGTAGAACACACTCTGGAATGAAAAAATGGGATGAATTTTCAGGATTTTTTTTGTTTGTTATACACGCGTTATATGGTGATACAGATATTATCGTTAATATTATAGAACTTCAAGTTCCCGTGGAAAAAAATAATATTCTAATCTCTAGCTTGCCTACCAAAGTTCATGATGAACAATGTCTTTCGTCCGCCCATTCATAAACATTATACAATTCTAGTAAAAACCAATTAACCATTGAAAAGTTTATAAGAATATCAGTCTGGTCATCAGATGTCTACTAGTTCATCTTCACTTTCTGCATTTATTGCATGGACACCCTTTGATGCTTTGCATCAATGCTTTTCTTGTAGCTATATATATATAGCTTTCGAATTCATGTACAGCAGAACTGCTTTCTGGTTCTCATTCATTAATATGACATGCTGCAAATCACCGACGGGGAAACCAATATAGAAATCGAAAGGAGTTCTTGAATGCGGATTTACTTTTAGCTGTAAATCGAAGGGATTTATTGATCAAATCCGGGCCCATGGACAAAAAAAAATAGTAAACACAAATAGCTCCGCGCTTGTTGGCGCGGAGCAATGAAGTTTCAAGTCCATAGCTTTTATACATCAGGAGAAATGGCCCGGACAAAAATAAAGTATAAAAATTAACAAAGGGCAATAACTCAAAAAATAAGAAATGCAGAGTACCGGTTCTTGTGCATTGCACTTCTTCCTAATGAGATCTATCATCCTATGAAGTTTCAAGTCCATAGCTTTTATACATTAGGAGAAATGGCCCGGACAAAAATAAAGTATGAAAACTAACAAAGGGCAATAACTCAAATATTAAGAAGTGCAGAGTACCGGTTCTTGTGCACTGCACTTCAGGTCATTATAAGAAGCATGCATATCAAGTTTGAACTCAATCCGACTTATAATGACTGACTAAATATTCTCCGGACAAGCTTAAGGGGATGCTGACGCCGACGCCAACACAAACGCCGACAAAAGTAACACCTAAATTTTTGTGCCTGTACATGAGGGATAATGAATATGTGCAACATCCCTCACACCCCCTAGCACCGGATGAGAGGCACTCAATTCTCAACACTCAATAATGCTGGCATAATGATCCTGAAGGACCAGGAAAAAAACAAAAAACTGAAACCACACAAAGCTTTACTTAGTCACTGGAATTTTTGCAGAGTTCAGTATTCAAACTCACAAACCCAATATGCTTTAAGTCTTAATTATTGTTCATTTTTATTTCAGGCATTGAAAGTTGTTTATGAACACATGAATAAATTTTCTTTCATTTTTTTTTTTTTTTTTTTTACACACTGGTCGCTTTGTTGATGTTTATTGCAGGTAAAAACTATATGTGACTGTGAATTTTACACAATATTATATGATTTGCTGTCAGTAATGAACAAAAACAATATTGTACATTAAATCATAAACCTTCCCATTTATTTATTAACAATGTACATTTTTATCTTTCTTTAATCTATATAGAGCATATTTTTTGGCAAACTGTCACTTCAATTTTTCGAAAACCACGATCATATGTTATACAGTATGGGTATATTGATTTCAAGGTATACATACATGTACCTGGTCTATAGTTGTTCAATAAATTTCTGCAGTTTTAAGAAATCAATACATGTGTGAATACACCAAAACAGATAATGTAAATAAAAATAAATTTGTATTTAATTTTACATTGCAATAGATAGTTCAATCAATTATGGATAAAATTACCTACTCAGATATGAGATTAAATAGATATATTTACAATCATCCAACATATATTTCAGCTTCAAAAACAATCTTGACTTGACTCACTACATTTCCTTACCCTATCTCCCCTCATTTGTAATGGAACGCCTTTCATTGGAATTATGTTTTGAATTTCATTTTAGAATAATATAATTATCAAATTAATCAAATAATTAAATAAACAAAGTAAACAAGTTACTACATGTATAACTATAAGGGCTCTCGGGCTAGGCCGAGGTAGACTTAAGTTATGTCCCCCGCCCCCTGTGACCTTCCTTACACCTCACTGTGAATTACTTCAACACATTATCATGTATTTATAGGGGACTATATCAATGTTGTTTACAAGGTCATATTCAACAGAACAGCATCTGTAAAATCTGTAAGTGCATGTTAAAATTATGTTAGCATTTCTTTGGAACTTTGGGCCTGACTATACTTATATTGAAATTGAATATAATATTATTGCTATTATATCATGAAGGAAAGGTGACAGGGACATGAAGATTAGCCATTAATTGACTGGGTACTTTTACTTTACAGAATTTAATAATGAACTAATATTACACAACTCACTCTAAAAATGATATGTTCCTCATAAACCAACCAGTACTGAACAATATTTTCTGGACCTTTTCCAGCTATTTTATTTTATTTCTGTTTGCCTCTGATGGGTTTTGTAGCCACACGGCTATGCAGCAATTGTTTGATATTACAAGCCTGACACATCAATCTCTCAACTGAGCCACCATATGCTAAGATTGTAGACATGTCCATAAATTCTCTGAATCACAAGGTCTAATTATCTTGATAAAAAGGTTTTGTATTTAACATTCACTGTGAATATAGAATACACTTAGACTCTTTAAAAGGACTATATATTATATACATTGTGTATGTATATAATTATTGAGACACTGAAAAATCACACACAAAATTGGCACGCCACAGCCGGAACTAGAATCAAGGGCACAAGTCTTTGGATTGTCGGTCCAGTATGCTAACCACCACACCACAATTGCCGTAGAGTTTTCTTTGTGCTTATTGACTTTTCTGTGATATGCAGGCTTCATAACCTCAGATCCCCTTTCAAAATTCCATTTTATTTACTTCCGCCCATTGTTTTCTCGTTTAGGGCAAAAGCTTTCTTTTACTTGGGGACCATACGCCTCTTTTCATGGAATGGCACTTCTGTGTCACATTGAAGGTTCCATGATAACCTCCATATGAACACATCTGCGGATGTTTCTAAATTCAAAATTTCACCATTTTCATGTTAAATGTTGAATTCTGCTTAAGCCGGTGCTAGGGGGCGTGGACGGTAACTTGCACTTTCCAGTACCGTCCATGAACAGGCTCAATCAAACAGAGCCTGCAACTGTATGATTTTCAATTTTGTTGTGTTGGACTTTCTTAAGGGATTCTGTTTTTCTCTATTTTATATATTGAACTTATTTTTAACTTTATTGTGACATGATCACTTTTACATACCATAGCGGCGCGCTATTCATATCTTCTTTTTCAGCAGTTGGCTGACTCAGTCACAATTTTTTATTATTGAACATATCTTGTGGCAAAGATATTTATTATTTTATAATTTTATATAAGGCCACTAAAATGTCACTGCCAATGAATTAATATAAATGAAAGAAAGAAAGTAATCAGAGCAGGAAATCTCCGGTGTATAATACAGTGTATATGATTTTGCATATGACTATATGTCACTCAATAGTTTTGATATGACAAGGTAACTAGTGTACAGCTCGAATTCGCTATTCCTTTCATTACCTGTTTACATCAATATTGACATATAGGGGTGTCGATAATTCTTATATAAAAGGATACTATTTATCACCTAAATCTTTAACTACCTAAACAATTACTCATTTTTTAACCGTTCAGCGTAATAGCGTAGTCGTTGAATGTAAATGGCTTTGTCAGTGAAGAGACCGTGGTTAGATTCTTGGAAAAGGCATTTTTTTCTTTTATTTTTTATTTTTAGATATTTTTTAAAGAATTGGATTTTAGTTCCTCGTGAATTTATTACACACAATACTATTTGAGAACATTTAGTTTTACACACAATTGCTTTTACAAGTAAAGTTAGAGTCAACAAAGTCGTGATATTTGTGATAAATGTGGAATGGAAGAAATTTAAATATATAAATATACATTATTAATGAGCCTAAATTGTTAAAAAATGTAGAAAACTGAATTTTTTAAACAGAATTAAATTGACAATACTTTTCAATCTGTTTGAATTATTAACTGTTAAAATCAAATACATTCAATTTTGCTAAATCGTTATAGATCTAAGTTTAACTTTTAATTGTTCAAAATATTAAATTAATCACAGGTTTATAAAAGAGAATATGAAAATGTTTTCTGAAAGTAAAAACCATACAGACATAAAAAATATTGCACAATTCCAGATTTGAACTCAAGAAAAGCATTTTCCTAACATGAACTCTTCATACATAATCTGAACTCTCTAACCACTACGCTACCAATTTAATTCTTCTTTATTGCAGTAAAAGTGCAAAATGTAATAACTGAATAACTTGCACAACCCATTATATCATAATGGTTTGACCGATAAATGTAAAAATTATCGTGTTCGACTTATACTTTATGCATACATGTCAGTATGAAACACTACAAAAAAACATTTTACATACCCATGATGTCTAGTTGAATGTATTGTTCTCCTTCAGTAATTTAATCTCTTTGTTTGAATGAATAATCTGAAAAATGAGATTTTAACTAAAATACATCTGGCTTTTATATATTATGTTAAATACTAAAATTAATTCAAAATTTACACACTTTATAAGATACTATAATGACTCCTCACACTATAATTATATAAATGAAATCAGGGTATGTACACTGTCTTGCAAACCTGTACCATTCATTTTGTGCCCTGTCTTGAATTTAAATGCAAGCACTTTAAATAACTACATGTACTTCCTATCACTGTACCTTTTTTCCTCAATTGGAGCATAATATAATTTAATTACTTGTACTTTTTCTGCATAACAGGAGGCAGACATACTTATGCACAATGATAAACTATTATATTACATACGGCAACAGAGTTATGCAATGATACTATTTTCACGGTGATAGGGCGATTACCACAACTTTTCCGCGCAACGTCAAAATATCATCCTTCTGACCGAGACACCGTATATTTCTGGACAAAATATTAATGGCGGGATAAACAAATTCCAGGTAATAGCTTACAAAATATCTTACTGCTGGACATTGCAAGATTATTCCAATTGTTTAAGTATTCCATCGAATTTTTGAGACAATTTATCGTTAATCTAGCACAATACAATTCACAAAAAAACACATACTTCGAAGAAATAGTGTTTACAAAAGATCGTGTGTACCTCCACATGACTCGTACTTGTCACAAAAACATGTATTATAACGACAATGTCTTTGTTCTATGATCTAGCGAGCTTGTATTTTTATTATGGTTAACCCTAAGTTCAAGTTCCATACAAAATTGTGTGTTTCTATCGTAAATTTCAGGGAATATATGTTGAAAAAAGGCCTACTGAGCCAAATATTGGAGCACCGTACAACACTGAATTCAAACACCGCATTCTTTTTCCGTTAGACTGATAAATACTGGAACCGTCTTCTTTTGAATTATACAATCTTCTTACAAATATGTTTTATTTGATGAAAGATTGTTTACTTGCTGTTATGTTATGTTATGTTGCTGTTATCAAACATTATGTTATGGAAAATTTCTGAAGGTCTGATCTGTGTTAATGCTACCAGTTAGATAAGTGCAATGGTATCAGTATATAGACAAGGATGTCTTTTCCTTTTCGAACTTATTCAAACTGATAAACCCCACATGGAAAGATTGAAGTTCTTGGCAGACTATACCATCTAACAACATCGAGAAACAAAAGGAATGAAATATTTGTTAATGGGAATTTCTTATTGCATACTAATTTGATAAAGTTGCAAAAGTCATAAATTTTCGTCATAATCTCTTCAGTCATGGTCTCCAATGTGCTTTTTTAAACAATCTTTTGAGAAAGTTTGACTTCATATTCTTTTTCTTATGTGGTGCGTTAAGCATATCGTCCTGAAATACAGGGAGGCGCTGATCCATTGGCGTACTGCTGATATCAGAAGACTTAGTTGGGCGCTCTCCAGTTGCTGCAGTAAATGCAGCTTTGCCAATTTCGCACGTTGCTTTGGCTTGTTCTTCTTTTTCTGAAAGCAAACATTAATATCAAAATAAACGGTGCAAAAAGAACAGAAAAATGCGGTTTAATATAAAGGAGGAATAATGCGGTGCCCTAATCTTATGATTGACAAAGTTGTGCGGTGCCTTAAAATACACACGTGGAAACATAAAAATCATACCAAATATACAAAAAACGGGTTATTTATGTATTGTAACTTGTTCATACGACAATAATGTACATATGATATTGTATTTTGACCAGTTATATGAACGGAACGGACTAGAAATACGTTATTTTTCGTAATCAAAGCAAGATTTTTTTCAGTATGCCCTAAATGTTTTCACTATCCTGACTTAATTAATGAAGCATTTTGCATGTAGTAAAGATAAATAAGTTTCAAATTAAATGGCACATTCGATGAAAAAGAAAAAATGATGATTTTACCTTGTTTTGAGCAAATTATCTGCTGTTTTCGTCTCGTTTACAGGCTTGCTGTCCATTTTGTATGATAGAAATATACGGTGTCTCGGACAGAAGTAAGATATTTTGACGTTGCGCGGAAAAGTTGTGGTAATCGCCCTATCACCGTGATTTTCATTATACCATAATTACAAGATTTACTGGCAAGATTTTAAGTTTATCATTTTCCATCCAACATCTCAGTAAGATTGCATTTTTCAAAAACATTTTGGATCATCATGGCCAATTTAATTCTCATCTAAGTAGATCTACATGTACTATGTATAAAAGTCATACCATGTCATAATAGAACATTTTCTGAAAATTGCAATGGGGGGGGGTAGTTTAAGCGAAATGAACATGATAAATAAAGCAGTAAATTATAGTCTTAAGATAATTTTAAAATAGAAGATGGAGTTTAAGATAGGAAATAAAATGTATATTTAGTGTTAATACGGTATAGAATCTATGGGCCAATTGCACCCCAAAACAGTGCGTGCATTGAAAAGAAAAAACAAGGTTTTCAACATAGTTACATATATGTATTTGCTGTGGGAGGGCTTTTGCTCCCCCCCCCCCGTTATTTTCACAGGCGGGCTTTTGCCTCCCTGTCAGGGCTTTTGCCTCCCTGTCACTTTCATGGGAGCACTTTTGCCCTCATTCTCATTGTCATTTTTCGACAGCAGTGCTTTTGTCCAGGGGAGGGGTGGGGGAGTTTTTTCCTACACTCGTATTCACCTGTGCACGTGTAAGTTAACCATGAGTCACAGGAACTTGACTTAACCACAGGAACTTGAAATTCTATCAATATTAATGATAATATCCATAACAAACAGTGTATGTTTATACTGTAGTGTATAGGGGGTATATTTTGGATATTATCATTAATATTGATAGAATTTCAAGTTCCTGACAAAAATACCTCCATGTATATACTATAAATAAAGTGTCACGTGTTTATTTATATTATATAGGGAATATTTTTTGATATTATCGTTAATATTCGTTATTTGATACAATTTCAAGTTCCTGTGCATGGTTACTGTGTAAACTGTTTACTATGGAATGCCGGTAGGGACATGCCAATTTGCTTATTTGCCAATTGCCGAATTGCTTATTTGCTATATGCCGATTTGCTTATGTGCCAATGGCTGATAGGCTTAACGACAAATTTGCTAATTTGCCAATTTTGCTAATTTGCCAATTGCTTAATTGCTAATTTGCTTATTTGTTAACCGCTGGTTTACGTATTTGCTTATTTGCCTATTGCTAATTTGCTTTTTTGCAATAGAAAAAGTTTACACTGTGCCGGAAGTATATGGAAAATCAGACTACAGACACCAGTTGAGCCAGATCTGTTAACTTTTACCAACAGTATTCTTGTAAATTCAGTGTTTTTCCAAGAATACTGTTGGTCAATGAATTTAGTTGCAGTGATGCCTACGCAGATATATGTCTACAACTGATGGCTGACATGTCCTTGAGAACACAGACACTTGGGGGTCAGATCCTGTACCCCAACGTGATACGTGGCTGTGTAAACACTCTATTTAAGATATTTTAATATTTAAAGACGAATTGGACATCGTTAAAACTGGTTTTCAAGCAATTTTTACATATACCGGTATGAAAAAATACCATACACCACCAAGTCTCAATAAAGTACTTAATGGTTTTATCGTTGTAACAAATGTCCAATTCGTATTTAAATAAATATTAAAATAGTTTTGATATAGTGTTTACAGACGCGTATCACGTTAGGGGCAGGATCTGACCCGCCAGCATCTGTGCTTGAGAATGTCTTATAATGTGCTGCAGCTATATATCTGTTTGTGCAGCTTAAGTCAGAGATTGATGGCATAATACGTAAACACTTGATGAGTCATATATAAGTGAAAATTATTGGGTAAAGATTGAAAATAAAAGAACTTGGAAACAAAACTATTTCTCTTTTTATTGCATATAAAATGTCGTTATTCTCATTTGTCACAGAGGGCCTCATTTTAGTGGTACGAACAGATAGTATCACGAATGATACATTTGGTGCATGCTTAACACGGGTGTTTGTCTTTGCACTTAAGCAATAGGCTTCGTTTTTAGCTCTGTAAGATTTTAGATCACTTATGTCTGTGTGTGCATCAACATTTTGCTTTGGTTCAATGTTTTTGAAATTTGGTCACACTTTTCCATTTCTTCGTGTTGTACATTTTACATGCTATCAGGTGACCATGACCATGATCATGACCTAGGGTATAATGAACAAAGCCTCTTTGAATATTGTGTATGCATGCTGCCTAAGTAATGCTTATGTGAAGTTACAGTTAGATATAAGCAATAGTAACAGAGATATGACAGAAAAACAAAGGCTTCTCAGTACAATACATTGGTGACCTTGACATTCAGTATATAATGGGCACAGCTTCTTCATGTACTTTGTATGTATGCATGCTTGTAACGCAAAGTTTATGCAAAGTTGCAGTAAGATGCATGAATCAGCAAAAGTAACAGAGATATGACAGAAAAACAAGTTACCAAGAAAACCAATGCATTGGTGGGTAGAATAGCATCCCTATTCTCTGAATAGTGGAGCTAAAACTGAAACTCAAGATAATTAAAAAAACAACTACTTTCTGAAACTAAATTTATTTTTTTCGAAATTGATTAAAATGTATCCATCTGTCTTTCTACCTATATTCTAGGTAATGATGGATTGATCATAATTGTCACAAGTTATAATCAACAAAACTTTATAAACATAATAGCATGATGTAGGTTCATGAGCTTGAAATAAAGTCTACAAAGACTTGTTATTTTATATCAAACAAGAACTTCGCGAGTCGGACGTGTCGCCTGACAATAGCATAAAAATTTATGTATATAAGCAAATAAGCAATTAGTAAATAAGCAAATTGGCAAATCAGCAAATAAGCAAATCAGCAATTACCAAATAAGCAATTAAGTAGTTGGCAAATAAGCAAAGTGGCATGTCCCTACCGGCATTCCATAGTTTACCAATAATTTAATAGCTGTTGAATAAGTGCCAGTGAGTAATGTTTTCACTTTGCTCAGTGTACTTGTAATGATGTACTCTAGATCTATAAACGAGATATATATCTTTTAATTGAAACTTTGTTTACAAAAATAATTCTATGAATATATCACATGTAAAATAATATTAATAAAATAACTTACAATAACAATGCGCGGTCCTGCCTCCTTTTAGCTTGACGCCTGTTCACTTAATGAATCAAATGCGGAGAATACTCAGCTATTTATAGTCAGCCTAAGATATACGTGGAATTCAAATCGAAAGTACGTTAATTATTACATCTAGGGATCTATAACATAATAATTTTATTATATATATTAACTTTAATATGCTGATTATGTAGTTTATGCCATTTTGTTTTCTATAAAGTTTCTCAAAAGATAACTACAAGTGATTTATCAAACCGAAAGAAGATTTAAACTTATTTTTGGAAAATGATTTTCCTATTTTGAGAAAAACAGCATTTTTTTTTAAATTCTAGACTACTGTAGACCGTAGACTTGTCATATTTTCATGCAGTTTTTATGATTTTGTATTGATTTAAAGAGACTCGATTGAGGTTTTGAGGTTTTTTGACATGACGGGACTGCAAGTTGATGCAGGTCCAGATCGTTTGCACACTCCGTTTTTTTCCAGAATGATTACAGTACAGTATATATATTATAATTATAATTATGTCAAAAATAACCCAAATCAAAAATGATTAGGTCAAGATCAATTACTAATTAGAATATAATCTAAATATTACCAGTGATCTTGAAAAACTAGATTAGTTAATTATCAATTAGCATTTCTGGGTTTTAACCTCCAATTAATCTGTCTCTGCGTTGACGGGTTGGTGCCAAGATGATTGCTGATGCCAAAATAATGGGGTGGGGGTCATTACGTATGGCCAAATCATTGTTGGAACCATAATAATAGGGGATCATTACTTATAGATATCAAAATCGTTATTGGCGCCAAAATATTAGGTGATCATTTCTTATGTCAACATCGTTGTTGGCGCCGAAATAATGGGGGATCATTCATTACACATGTACATGTATATCCAAATCGTTGTTGTCGCCAAAAAAAATGGGGATCATCCGTTATGGTAGTCTGGTTCCCAGCTTCTATTGTAAACAAATAGAATAGACAAAGGGCAGGTAATCCAGACTACCGTTATGGCGCCAAAACATAAATAAGAGCGGGACCATTCATTATCTCCAACCGTTGTTGGCGCCAAAATAATAGGGGATAAAGCTCAAGCGGAAAATTTCCTCTTTTTTGTCCCTGTGTCATTGTGGATTTCAGTTACAATATTCGCTAAATGTCAAGTAAGTTAAGAAGTTATATACCATTGATTTTTCCAGAGACATAGATCTACATGTACATCTCTGATTTTTCTGGCGTGAAGCTTCAAGTAAATTCATTTTTGGGGGGTTGTGGCCTGGCCGGGGTATTGATTTGTATGTACACAGACCTTTCTTGAGAAAATTCCTAGACATTAATGTGTTATATGACCTTGAAATAAATTTAGTGACGTTTCAAATCGTGATTTTTATTTTCAAATAAAGTAGATCTTCAACATTTTGTGAGAGAATGAAAATGCAAAATTTGCTTTTACTTTCCACTGCTTACAAGTAGACTTGTGTTGCTCAAGTTATATGATTCGTAATGGTTACATTTATACATAATTTATTATAATTCGATTGTTTAGGACAGACTCACTTACCATGCAACGAGTGTTAAATGTCTTGCTGAAGGAATCAACGGCTTACATGTACATAATGTTTGGCATGTACGAATGAAGTATCTACAACTGTCACGTCACGTATATAAATTGAATTATTTAAACACACTGCACTGGCAGAATAAAACAAAAAATGTGTTGATAAGATAAGTTATTTAGGCCTAGATACGCACGATCTTTTTTTATTTAATTATCTAAACAGGGAAATTATCTATAACATTAGATAATTTATTTTCCTGATATAGATATGTCAAAAATCACGCTGTCAATGTCTGATATGCGTATTGATCATTTTCTGAAAACTGTTCTTACCTAAATGTTTCATTGATATTTTAGCGGACCATTCTAACATTGGAATTGTTATATGTAATAGAAAGAGCACCGAAACATGAGGCTATCTGATTTGTACGAGGGGGCGTAGCCCCCGAGTATAAATCAGATTGCCGAGTGTTTTGGTGTTCTTTCTCTTTTGTATTATAGTCAAACATAAAAACACGTTCCCTGTTGTCACAATTTTAATCCCCGGGAAAAAGTAACCAATGATCGAGCATCTGAATATGATATTTCTGCCGCTTTTTCTTTCTCTGCCGTCAGAATATGTAAACCCCAGCAAAAATGAGCCAATCAACGGGCATGGTCTGGAGTGCGGGTAACTGATACCTGCACTCCAGTTACCGCACTGTGCATGTATACATATGTATACGATTTAACTCTGACACTTTTTCAACAGAAAGGTCCCCAAACTATGATACAAATACATGTATATTACATTGTTTTTTACACCTATACGATTTTATTATCATTATTCTGTCTTTATTTTACGTTTGTTCATAATCACTATCCGACAGTTTCACGTTTAAATTTTAGCTTTACACGAGATAACTTACACGAGAGAAACTAAATTCTGGCCAGTACAGCTCAATATAAGGGAGTTAACTACAGACTACCTAGTTTGTTTCAGTTAACTCCTCCTGTTACTACTGCTCAAATCAAATTGTAGTTTGTTTTTTTAAATTTCTCTTATCTGTACGTTTGGTTCCTTTATCCTAACCATATGACTGAATTTTACGAATATTGAAAACGCCCATTGGGCGGTAACGAGGCTTGCTGATAAATTACATTGATTTCTCTTTAGACCAGCTAAAATCAATATCTGTTTAATTTATATAATCTTTAACATTAACAGCTAGATGTTAAATATTTTACATTTACAAATTTCTAACATCGATACCTGTATGGAATACATGATATATTATGCTGTTAAAATACAGTATATTGCACACAAATGGAACACAGTAAATTATTGTTTAATATTTCCCATCAGAATTTTGCTGCTGATTTGAAAATGTCTTCGGTACTAACATATCCTTCTTATATAGTATTCAAGAAGGAAAACGTAAACCACCCAACTACAAAAATGATCAAGTTGCTGAATATAAAATATTTGATCCGAAGTTCATTCATTATACTTCAAAATATATCCTGATGTTGCGGCAGAAATTTGGTCAAAGAAGAAGCGGTATTTCGGAGCGGGAAGGGGGAGGGGGTGGCGCAGTTGCAGTTTACATGTGTTTATATTGAAAAGAAAATAGACCTATTTTATGTGGTCTACATATGTGTTATACATGTATATTAATATATTTGTAAAATATTATCGTATACATTTGTAGTTACATTTTATTCGCCTTACGGATGACTACATACTTTTATTCTTATAATATTGTATATGCATTTGGTTTGAGGAAATTGGACAGTATTTAAATGGAAGTTAACATTATTTTGACTTAACAACTGTAACAATATAATGGCTGTATTATTTAATATATTATAATACCTGTATTGGATACAGGATATTACATTTCGTTTAAACATTTAATCGGTCAAACGAATGACAACTGTTTATCATGATGTACATGACATATTGACCCACGATAGTAACATTTGAATCAGATATCATTTGGTCATTATTTAGTTGATTATATATGTGAAGGTCAATTTTTATTTAATTAACGATTGTAAATTTGGATTCAAAAAATCGCAAGCATGTTTTGCTCACATTTTAATTTGTTTTTTAACCAGGTTTTCAACGAACATCGGTTATTGTATTGCCGAAGTCGGCGGGCTTTTGGGTGTCAAATTTTGGTTTCCGCTCAATAACTTATTTTGCTTAGGCCTATTGACACCAAACTTGGTGTGTAGGTAGCTTATATCAAGAGGCAGCTTAAGCTAAATTGCCACCCAGGGGTCAGTATCTCGAAGCTATCGTTAGCATAACGACTGTCGTAAGCCTCTCGTTAAGGTTTTCACTGGTATCTCGAAACTCTCGTAATTAACGAATAATCGTTAAAATGCCCAATTATTAACGGTTGCGTTGAAGGTGTCGTATAGCTCTCGTTAATAATCAAGTTTGGTAGAAAAAGGAAGAATACTTCGAATTTAAAAATACACAAAAAATGAGAATTATATCACCTTATTGATAAAATGATGAACCTACATAAATATGATATTTTATTTCTTTTTCTCACATATCAAACATATGTAAGAGCTCTTTTAGTTTACATGAAGACGTATATTTATATGCAGATGAAAAAAAAAAATCATATAATAACTGAAGCATCGAAAGGAATAAACTCTGAAATGCGTAATTTTGCACAAGACAATATAAATAAATATTTGCATGTGCATAATGTTAAAAATGTAACAAAATCGTTTAAAAAAAAGTTACCTGTGATGTAATGATTTAATGACATGAAGAAACATGCATTACGTTACGCTTGCAAAAATCAGTAAACAGATAAGTATGAAATATATGGAAATTTGTTTTGTTTAACGTAACAGATTGAAATCTCTTGCCAACACCAGCTGTTATATTTTACTTTAAATTTGTAATGCATAATCCTTTCTTAATCTTTGTTAAAGACAAATGAAAATTTATCCATAATATTAACAGAAGATTATATAAAAATCTGGAAACAAAAGTGATCCCTCGGAGCATTAATCACAACAAAATTACAAGAGAACTGCTGACTCGGTTTGATTGAGTCTGCACATGAGGGATAATGAATACGTGCAACATCTCTCACACCCCCTAGCACCGGCTTGAGTGGTACTCTATTCGCAACACTTAATAGTGCTGGCATCGATGATCCCGAAGGACCAGAAAAATATAACAACACTGAAGTGAACTTAGTAAATACCCACTGAAAATAATATTTTTTAATATTAGACAGTTTGCGTGACCTTATATAAACGGTTGTTTGTAAATATAACCCGAGCCGTCAGGCGAGGTTTATATTGCAAACAATCGTTTATATACGGCCATATAACTTGTCAGGAATAATTATAACGAATTTATAAAGCTTCGAAATCGGAAGTTCTTTTTAAAGAGTAAAATTAAGATTTCCAGCTCGTGAAAATATATGGAAATTTATCATGTTTCGTGAACATATATTATATTTCACTCAAACGAAAAACATCTTAATATTTCTTTAAAA